ATAAATGGTAGCAATTAACATTGGCCCCTATCTTGCAGATGAGTAAACTGAGGCCCAGAAAGATGAAGTGGCAGAGCAGGATTAGAACTTGGAGCCACAGAGACAAAGCACAGAACTCCACCTTCCAACTGGTCTGTGACAGGCCCCTGGAACCTCAAACCTGACACTCCTACAGGGAGAGGGCAGGTACACCCAATCCCCCAGGTCCTATGGCCCAGCTGAGCCGACAAAAGCACAAGGCAGACCTGGCTCAGGGCCAGTGTCAGGGCTGGAGGGAGCCCTGGGCTGGAGGTCCGAAGACCCTTGTGTGGTCCCCTATATGACGTTGGGGGGTCATTCCCCTGTAAAAGGAGGACAGGCCGGGTCTGCCCCCACCTCCCCTGCCAGGCCTTCCTTCCCTGGGCCCCCCGCACACTGCTCACCCTCTTTGGGCTGACGGGCCCAGAGCCGCTGTTCCTCCCCTATCCGGGCTCAAACCCACCATAAAGGATGAGGGTTACCCCAGCTTGGGCTCCCAGCACTCTCAGTCAGCCCCCCAACCCTGCTAGAACCCTCATCATCTACCTCCGACCCCGCCTGCCCGCCCCACCCCCAGCCCAGATTCCACTCCTGGAATCCTGGGGCCTGCCAGGCCCCTGGGGGAGCCGCCAGGAAGAAGCTGCTTGTGTGGTTTGGGCAGCGGAGGAGGGTCGCGGCCTCAGCTGGGATCTGGGCCAGCTCCTGGAAGGCGGCCCGCCTCCCGCAGCCAGGCTCTCCAGACCTTCCTCCCATCCTGGGCTGCCCCTGTTCGGCCTCCCTGGGGGGCTTTCTCACCACCCCTTCTCCCTGCCGTCTCTCAGCAGGTGGCCTTGGACCTTAGCTTCCATTTCCTGTCTGTAAAGAGGGTTGTCCTTGTGCCTACCTCCAGTGTCACCGCAAAGATCCGAGCAGATAAAGCACAAATGCAGAATCTATTGGGGTGCCTGCCTCTGAGGACATCCTGGATGCACGCCAGCCTGGCTCTGGGACACCGCTACTCTCCCCACATCCATCAACCACCAAGTCCTATGACCTTTGACTCCCAGTGTGGGTTATTATTATTTGCATTTTATCTTTTTAATGCAACATTTCAACCACACTGAAAAATACTTAAGAGAAGCCACATTACCACCCACATGTGTTAAGTTTGTCACACTTGCTTTCTGACATTCTAAGATTAATTCATATATTATTTTTTAAATGTGTTGAGTATCTGCTGCGTGCCAGGCACTGTTCTAGGCACTGGGGACACAGCTTCAAAACCAAGCCCTCAGGGAGCTCATCCTTAAACTAGGAGACAAATAATATATATAGACGGTGGGTAAGAAGAGGCAGGCAGAGAGGAACAGGCTGGGGAAGCATTGGAAATCTAGAGGCCTTGGTGGCGTGAGGCAGGGAGTGGGTTCCTTGAACAAGTGTCATCAAGTCAGGACTGAGAGGAGAAAAGTAAAGTGAAAGTCACTCAGTCATGTCCAACTCTTTGCAGCCCCATGGACTGTAGTCTGCCTGGTTTCTCTGTCCATGGAATTCTCCAGGCAAGAATACTGGAGTGAGTTGCCATTCCCTTCTCCTGGGGATCTTCCCAACCCAGGACTAGAACCCAAGTGTCTTACACTGCAGGCAGATTCTTTACCATCCGAGCCACCAGGGAAGACTCAAAGGAGGGGAGGGAGTTGGCAAAGCATCTCAAGCAAGGAAACAGCAAGTGCAGGGCCCCTGAGGAGGAAGCCTGCCTGGTACCTGTGAAGACTGGAGAGGCGGCCAGTTCTGAGCTGGCTCACCAGGGACAGATCCTGGCCAGCCTTGGGCTCCACTCCTGCTTAAATCATCTCATTGAGTCCTTAATGCATTTTACAGATGGGGAAACTGATGGCCAGGTAAGATGGCTTACTAGAGGGTACTCAGCTAGCAAGGGTATGTCTTGGGATCTGAAGCGAGACCTGGGTCCCACCTCAGAGCTGGGCGGGGCCCTGGGGTGGCCTAGGAGGAGGAGGAGGATGTAGGGAGAGGCCACCCCACCCAGGAAATGCCGGGAAGTCCCAGCCCGTCCCTGGCCTGAGGCTGACCTGAGGCTGGGAGGCTGCAGGACAGACCAGCTTTCCCTTCCGGTGCTGACTCAGGCGCCCTCCTGTTCCCCCATCTCCAGATCAGGTATGGAGGTCATCCGAGGTCAAGAAGACCCTGTGTACATGCCCTTGCCTGGGCTCCCCTGAGTCTGCTTCCTGCTCTGAGCAGGCTTGGCCCTGCTGCCCCAGGGCAACCGTGGTGATCACAGGCTGGGCCCAGGCTCTCGGAGTAGGGGAGGCACAAGCAGTCCTTGGTGCCCAGACCTGCCCTGTGCCTCTCCTAACCCTGCCCCATGTCTCAGTTTACCCATTTAACCTCTTTCAACCTGATCGGATGGGGCCAAGCTGAGGCCTCAGAGTCACCTGGTAAAGGGCTATTTTAAAGTCCAGACTCGGGCACCGCTCCACAGGCATTCACACAGGTGTCGGGGACCTCTGGCACTCTGAGAACCCCTGCTTGCCTGGGGCCCTCCTCTCTCTCCCTCCTGCCTTCTCTACTGTTGAACTGCCCCTCTCCAGGACACCTACCTGGGGTCAGATGCCTCTCCTGGGCTCCCAACACCCCCAGGCATCCCCAGTATAGCACAGCAAACTCCAGGTTGCTGTGGTCTCCAGTCAGTTCTGTGTCCCTCTAGACTGTTTGGAGGGGGAGGCATGGCTGCCCTTTCAAAGACAGAAATGGAGACTGAGAAAGGGCAAGGACCAGGGTGACAGAGGGGCGGAGCTCAAACAGCAATTACCAAGAACTCTAATGACAGCTGACTCCCACATGACACTTCCTGTCTGCTTGGCACAGCCTGGTCTCAGGGCTTTACAAATACTAATTCACTTCTTGTTCATAATGACCCTCTAAGGCAGGTAGAGGCTGAGCACCACAGAATCGATGCTTTTGAACTGTGGTGTTGGAGAAGACTCGACAGTCCCTTGGACTGCAAGGAGATCAAACCAGTCAATCCTAAAGGAAATCAACCCTGAATATTCATTGGAAGGACTGATGCCGAAGCTCCAATCCTTTGGCCACTTGATGTGAAAAGCCGTCTCATTAGAAAAGACCCTGATGCTAGGAAAGACTGAAGGCAGGAGAAGAAGAGGACGACAGAGTACGAGATGGTTGGATGACATTACCAACTCAATGGACATGAGTTTGGCAGGCTCCAGGAGATGGTGAAGGAGAAGGCAGCCTGGCATGCTGCAGTCCATGGGGTTGCAAAAAGTCGGAAAAGACTGAGCCACTGAACAACAAAAACAAAGGCAGGTACTAGGATTACCCACGTTTTTTACAAATGAGGAAACCTGAGACACAGAGCTTAAATGTCTTTCTCTAGGTCGCACAGCTTCTAAAGGCGACTAAGGATGTGAATTAACACCTTCCTAACACTTCCCTGTGTGAGGCCTTCACTTTGCAGAAGAGGCCACTTAGGGCTCAGGCAGTCAAAATCAGCCACGGTTGGGAGGGCAGGCACCAGAACCCAGGCCTCAGAGCACCCGAGTTGAGTGCGGGCAGTGGCCAGAGAGGCCTGATGCTTCTCAGTGCAGCCAGCTTGCCCCTTTGCCTGTGACCATCTGTCTTAGCTTCCTCGTCTAGAACACTGGGCTTTCCTCCCTCCCAGGACTGTTGAGAGCACTTAATCAGCTGAAACCAGGAGAGGGTTGTGAACAGTGCTTGCCACACCTGCGGACACTGAAGCCTTGTTCTTATCATCTTCTCTCCTCTCACCTCCCTGCTCCCCAGCTCACCCTTTTTCCAGATCCAACCCCAAGGAAGGGCTGAGCAGGGCTGACATGGGTGGGGTGTGGGGGCTGGGCCTGTGGCTTGGCAGCTGCCTGGGGTCACAAGTCAGGCGTGCCTCCCTTGACACAGCTGGTGGGGTCTGGGCCAAGTCCGTTAGCCCCACCTAAGCTTCTGGGACCCTGAGCCCAGAGCAGCCTATTCTCCGCCTTTGAAGGAAAGGTTCAGCCTTCAGGCCATTGTCCATATGAGAAAAGGAAGCCTGGGAGGTGGGTGGGGATAGGCCATCCTCTCCCAGAGTGGAGGGGGTGCAGCTTTGTTTATACACAGTTCTCTGCGCAGGGAGGCCCTCCCTCCATCTCGGAGACGGCCGGATCCAATCTCAGGACCAAATGCCAGCTCCCGAGGAAAGGTCTCTTCTCCCAAATGGGTCTCCGTCCTTCTCTTCAGCTCGTGGCGCGCCTAAGAAGCCCCCGTGAGGCCACCAGAGCTTCTTTTTTTTTTTTTTTCCATTTATTTTTACCACCAGAGCTTCTTAATGTAGGATCCTGGAGGTGCAGGAGTTCCCCAGCGGCTGGGGGCGGAGGAGGCCATTCCCGACCGACCACCCAGCTGGGACAGGAGCGTGGCGTGGGCGGTACTCTGGCCCGCTGGGGTATGGTCCACGTGGGGTCCCGGGAAAGCCGTCAAACATAATAAAACTGAGCAATCACCGGGCCAATAGTGCAGGTGGGGAAACTGAGGCTGGGAGCTAGGGAGTCGCCCGGGTCAGAGCTTTCCTGGCTTTCGGGACAGGGCTGCCTCATAACCTGGGTGTGCTCATCGTTAGTTCCTGGCAGGAAGGGAAAAACCTGCTCCGCGTTGGGGAACGCGCGCTGCCGCTCAAAAACCAGTCCCCAGCAGTCCACGCCGAAGCCCCGCTTTGCGGACTACAAGTCCCGGCAGGCCCCGCGCCGCGGCGCACGCGCAGCGGGGCGTGCTCGCGGGCGCCCACTGAGTGCCAGGCAGGGGCGGGGGCGGGTGGTGTGAGGGTCGTCTATTGGCCGAGCGGCGCGTCCGTCGGACGGCCCCGCCCCGTGAAGGCCCCGCCCCGCCGCGCCCGCGCCTGGCTCCCGCCCGCCCGCGCCTCAGGACCGGCGGGGCCGCGCGGCGCATCCTGCGGGCGGCGGCGGGCGGCCGGGCGCAAGATGATGAAGTTTCGGTTCCGCAGGCAGGGCGCAGACCCGCAGCGCGAGAAGCTCAAGCAGGAGCTCTTCGCCTTCCATAAGGTGCGGCGGCGGGCCGGGGGCAGCTGGCTGGGGGCGGGGGCGGGGGCCTGGCCGGAGCCACGTCGGGCCGGGGGAGGGGGCGCACGCCGGGCCGGGCAGCCAAGCTCCGCTCTGCTGGAGCCGCGCGCCTGCATCCCTGCCCTCCGCTCCTCCGCTCCTGTCTCCGCGCCTCGGAGTTCGCTGCCCTCTCCCCGAGGGGCCTCTCCGCCTCCGTGCGGCTCTCAACTCTCGCTCTGGCTCCACTCGCTGCCTCTTTATCTCTTTCTTGGGGACCTCGCCTCCCCTGCGCAGCCCTAGGGCCCGATTTGTTTTGCTTTCGTACCCAGGCCGGTGGGGAGGAGTGCTGAGTGGGGGAAGATGTTGGGGGGTGGGGCTGGGAAATCCCTTCCCGGTTCCTCTCCTCCCTTCCCCCTCTGCCTGGGACTCCCGCCTGAGCTGTGCCCGCCCTGCCCGGGGCTCCAGGGGGGATGCCTGGCCGTGTAACCAACTGCACTTCGAATCCTGGGGTCTCAGTTTCCCTTGCGATGAAATGGGGCCACTGTCTTCCCTGCTGCGGACTCTGTCGCGGGGGCAGCAGACCCACCGCTTCTGGAGCCTTGGCGGAGGTGGGGGTGGAGGGCTGCTCCTTCCTTTCTTTCCTGGGTAGGGCCAGAGGGGCCACGGGAAAGGGGCTGCCTTCAGCCCCGCCTCCCTGCGCTGGTGTGTGTTTGAGAGAGGCCGGGCCTGGCCCTTGCTAACTACCCCCAGGGGTGTCACTCTGGCCTCAGTTTTACACCCAAGCCCTCTGATCACATGCCCCCTTGCTGCTCTTGGGGCTTCGAGTCGTTAAGCTCACATGCGGGTGAGAAAACTGAGGTTCAGCTCTGCCGAGCTGGCCAGAGACAGAGTGAGCGGGCGCTTGGTCTCTGTGTACCCTTGTCAGTGGGATTTGACTTCAGCCTTGAGAAGCCAGGGCCCCTTGGAGGGGCTGCTGTAGGTCCCGAGTGGCAGCCAGGAGACCCTGGTCCAGGGAGACACTCTTTGGGCGCTGCTCCTGCACTGGCCGAGGCCAGGACGTTTCTCAGGGCAGGCAGGGTTTCCCAGGTGCCAATAGAGGGTGCCAGGATCCTCGGGTTTGGTGGCCAAGGGGCCCAGAGGGGAGGCTAGTGCCCAGGGGTTCCCAGGTGGTCCCTTCCTATGCTGAGTGACTGAAGGTGAGCCCCTCTAGGTGAGAGGACAGCGTTGTGGGGCAGGTGTCGTGCTAAGGTGTCACTTCCTCAGCCAGGGAGTCGAGGTGTGAAGCGGGGGCCCCAGAAAGGTGGAGGGGAGGTGCTCCCCCATCTGGCCTCTGGTGGCAGAAGCTGGGCTCCCTGCTAAGGCGGGCGAGGCCGCATTCTGAGTGGGCAGCAGTGGTAGGAGGGGGTGGACTTAGGCAGAGGGTCACTAGAGGGGCTGGCAGGTGATCACTAGAAAATAGGTCCCAGGGACTTCCCTGGTGGTCCAGTGGTGAAGACTGTGCTTCCACTTCCTGGGGTTCAGGTTCAATCCCTGGTCCAGGAACTAAGATCCCACCTGCCGTGTGGCAACACCAACAAGCAAAAACAAAAAGCCTCAGATTCCCAAGTGGCCAGGGTTGGAGGGTGGTCAGGGTGAGTGTGGACTTTGGGCTGTCTTGGGTCCAAATCCCAGCCCTGCCCCTGGTTGCCTGTTGTGTGTCCACTCTGTGTCATCTTCACACGTACTGCCTTGGGGGGCCAGTGTCCTAGCTGGAGAGATAGTGAGAAGACAAAACAGGGAGTAGGGTTTGCAGCTGGCAGTAGCTGGGCTGGTGGTCAGTGCTGTGGAGGAAGTCAGGCAGGTGAGGGTGTAGAAGGGCAGCTGCTGAGCCAGCGGTTGTCTCCTGAGCTGGGGGAAGGCTTCACAGTGCAGAGGGCACATGCCAGGTAGAGGGACTGTGGTGGGTGTGTAGGTCCTGAGGCAGGAAGCTTCCATGGTGGACTGGAGGAGAGCGGAAGGCCAGCAGCCAGGGAAGGGAGGTTGGAGAGGCCCAGGTGGTAAGGACTAGGCTCTGACTTGGAGTGAGCTGGGGATCCTCGAGGGTCCTGAACAGAGGAGCAGGCCGCAGGACCTGGTCAGGTCCAGTGTGGGCACGGCGGTGCCAGTGTTTGCCATCCCCCCCAGTCCAGAGGTCCACTCTGTCCTCAGGTGGGCTCCCCGGTGCCTGGATGGGAAGCTGAGGCTCGGACAGTGCTGTGACTTGCCCAAGGCCGAGGCAGCTGCTCAGACGACTCAGTCCTTGCCTGGATGGGCTGGGGCTGGAGAAAGACACAGGCCTCAGGGGACTAGGGGTTCTTATAAAACCTGTGTGTTGATGACGCAGTGGTCAGAAGGAACTGGCAGCCACATGTGGTATCCCACCTTGGTATTGGGGGCTGGGGGCCCAGGGGTGCAGGCTTCTGGGGAGGGCTCCTAACCAGGCCTCGGGGTTGACTAGGGGCTCCTTGTGTCGGTGGGCGGGTGGGGGAACCAGGGCTTTGCCAGGAGCAGGGGACTCGGTGGGAACTGTTCCATTGATACCCCCAGTGTGTAGCACTGCCTACTACCCTGACCATGGATGGGTGGGAACCATGTCCCCCAGTTTCCAGGTCGGAAGCTGAGTCTGGGAGGTGCATGACAACTTCAGGGACTGGGCAGGAAGCACCCTCTGTCTGGGCCCCCCTTTTCCTGTCTCTGGGGCTGGGGTGGGGAGCAGCCCTAGTTCGGGGGAGTCAAGAGCCTCTGCCTAGCCAACCTTGGGCGTTGGTCTCTGACCGCCATGCAGAGCCTGTGTGTTGGGGGGGTACCACGGACTGCACCCTGCTTCAGTCTGCCTGGGTGAGTGGGGTGCAGAGCCCACCCCATGGGGCAGCTGGGGTTCGCATCTGTGCCCATGCATCCTCCCTTGTGAGCCCCGTTCTGTTTGTTGTCATGGACCCAAGTGTCAAGTGGGACGGGCCTTGGCTGGGAAGGCCTCTGGTGGGGCCAGGACTCAGGCCCTTCCTCACCCGCTGGAGGTGTGATCATCCATCTCGCAGCTGAGGACATTGAGGTCAGGGGGCTGGGCATGCAGCAGGGACAGAGCTGGAGACTGCCTGGGGTGGGCCTCGGGTGGGAGTTGTGCCTTGGAGATACCCCCGCCTCCCTGCAGACTGTGGAGCATGGCTTCCCCAACCAGCCCAGTGCGCTGGCCTTTGACCCTGAGCTTCGTATCATGGCCATTGGCACCCGATCTGGGGCCGTCAAGATGTATCCTTTGGGGTCGTGGCTAATGTGCGGGGCACCTGGGCTGGGCCCCTAGTGGCGGTTGTGCAGCTGCTGCCCTGAGGCAGCGCCTCAGAGACGGAGGGGTCCACAGCTGCCTATCGCTGCAGCCAGTTACCTCGGCAACCCTCCCGTTGTCCCAGCAGCTGTGACTGGGGAGGTGGGCCAGGACTGGCAGCACATGGTCCCTAGCAAAGGTGGCGGGAGGACCAGGGTCACAGCAGACCTTGCCCTGGGAACCGGGTGCACACACGTGTGCCGGCCTGAAGACATGTGTGTCCAGCCGAGGGTTGGGGGCAGTGCCAGGCTCGGCATGGCAAGCGCGGCGCAGCCCCCACCTGGATGCTGGCCCCGCACAATGGGCCTGTGAGCCGTACAAAGGGCCATTTTCCTGAGAGCTCTTGCTGGGGGAAGGGGGGTGACGGGGGTAGGTGGGGGGAGGCTGGCAGCTGGATGCCTCCTTCCTGCTGTGGAGCAGCCCACCCCCGCTGCATGAGGTGAGCCCCCCAGGTGGGGCCCAGGTACAGGGTCTAGCTGGCCACTACAGGGGCGGATGGGGTCTCCCCATCCGGGACTCAGGGCACTGGCCGGGCAATTTTGAGTTTGCCGGCTCCAGGGACCAGGTAGAGGGGCTGGGTCTAGGTGCCCCCTCCTCCTCCGTGGACCCTGAGGCATCGGTGAGACAGGGAGGGGACGGTGCCCTGGTCATCTGCCTCAGGCCGCTGCCTGCCCAGGAGTCCCCTCCCTGCCTGCTGCTCCTGCCTCTGGCTGCCATCGTGCCTGTGGGAGCTGTGGTCCCACGGCCCCTTCTCCCCGGCACAGTGTCTCTGCCGGTGGCAGAGCCTTTCTTGTGCACCAGCCCCTCATGCTGACAAAGGATGGGTGGCCAGACGGCCTCAGAGGAGGATGAGCCCCCTGCCCCCCGGACCACTCCTACCCATGCCCTGAGCTAGGAAACTGAGGCTGGCCACAGGGGCCATCCCACCCCCCAGTCTGGCCTGTCTCCCTGGCGACCTGGTTCCCGCCCAGCACTCCTGCCCCTCTTTTGTCCCCTCGTCTGTGTTCTCCCGGCTCCAGCTCCAGGCAACGGCTCCTGCCTTGTCTCCCAGCAACGTTGCTGACCCCAGCCTAGTCCTCCCCCCCTGGGGCCCCTCAGCCTGCTGTCCACGGTGAAGCCTGAGGTTGCTGGGACGCTGGCACTCACACCGGGCACTTGTAGCCAGGCATCCACCTCTCCAAGCCCCTGGGGCCTCTCCCCACTCAGTGGGGGCTGCCAGCCCCACAAGGACATGGGTTTCCTGGCCTTCAGCTGGCAGTGGCCTGTGGTTGTGGAGAGGCAGCCTGGACTCTGCTCTGCCCCGGGCTTCCTGAGCCTGGCCTGGCATCTCTGCCCATGATGCCGATGTGCCGGGCCAGCTCTTGTGCCCACAGATCCATGAGCCTGACATAGAGCTGTGAACTGGGCCTGGGCTGGGTGTGCCAGGACAGCTTGCGTTCTTGGTTGTCCTGCGTCTGCCCCAGGAGGCAGGCAAGCAAGTCACTGGCCGGTTTTACAGATGAGGAAGGGAAGGCCATACGGAGCACTGACTTGCAGGACCAAATGGGTCTGCATCCTGAGTACAGTGCTTCTTCTGAAGAGGAGTCCCCAGACCTGGGAGGGCCCCTGGACAGGGCTAGGTGACACCCCTCCCCGTGTCACCAGGGGCCCGTTGCAGTGGTCCTGGGGAGGAGGGGCTAGGTGATCCCTGGTGTTGGTGTCTTGGCCTGTGCCTGCTTTCCACCCTTGACCCGTCACCCTCAGCTACGGTGCCCCTGGTGTGGAGTTCACGGGCCTGCACCGAGATGCGGCCACTGTCACCCAGATGCATTTCCTGCCTGGTCAGGTGAGCCTCGGCCCCGCTGCCGGCCCCCAGAAACCCCCCTGCCCCGCCCCTGACCCCAGTCAGCTCAGTCCTGGTCTTATTCACCCGCCAGGGTCGAGTCCTGACCCTGCTGGATGACGACAGCCTCCACCTGTGGGAAATCGTCCACCATGATGGCTGCGCCCACCTGGAGGAAGCCCTACGATTCCAGGCACCCAGTCGGCCTGGCTTTGACGGTGCCAGGTACCGAGGGGCTTGGCCGGCTGTGGCTGCCAGATGTAGTGGGGGGCCTGTGAAGGTGCAGTGGGGACAGGAAGCTGCCCCAGGGCTGGGACTTGGGGCGGGGTGGTGCACACTGGGCTGGGCCTGGGTCCAGAGAGCTGCTCTGTGGACTTTGTGGGCGTCAGACGGGAGTCCCAGGTGAGCCCAGGGTCAGCAGGGAGGGTCTGTGCCCTGGCACTGCTGGGGCCCAGGAGGCCTGGGGTGGGGAGGGTGTGTCCCAGAGCCTGGAGAGTGGCCCTGTGCCCCTGCAGCGAGGGGGGCATCTAGAGCAGGAACTGACAGCACCAGTCCTCCAGACCCTTGAACAGGGGCGGGACGATAAGCCCTACTGTGCGGGGAGGAGAGGGCAGGTCAGAACAAGGAGGGTCTCCCTGGGCTGTGAGGTGCTGGCAGGACGCCCCAGGCGGCAACAGCATGGGCTTCAGCCCTCAGGGGGAGAGTAAGGGGCCTTGCGGTTCCTGGCCCGCAAGCCTTTGTTGGAATGGCTGTCACAAGTCTGACCAAGTCACAAGATGTCCATCCAGCTTAGAAACAGGCTTGTCCCGCTTGGGCTTGGACCCAGCGTGGATCCAGGGTGTTCGAGATCCTGTCGGGGAGTGACTGGGGGCCTCCTTCAGGGTCAGGAAGATGTCTTAAGGCATGGGGCTTCCTGGTGGGGCTCAGAGGCAGAGTCCTGGAGCTTGGGGTCTCTACCCAGGCGGGGCCTGGTTCCTGCCGCCATCCCCTCTGGGTGGAGGGACGAGCTCCAGGGCCTGTCTCCAAGACCTGGGGACCTATTTTTATCCCTCTCCCCACCGACATCTGGTGAATAATTGAGTGAGCTGGTTACGGTGTCTGCAGCCACCACCGTGGCCTTCCAGGGCGCCAGCCCCCTTCATGACCAGGGCCCAGCAAGACCAGAGGGGCTGCAGTGAGCTGACACTCTCGGGCCCCTGTGCCCTCCCCGGCAGGTGTGCGGGCTCCTCCCCTCACCTGCTTCCCCTTGGGCCCACAGCGGCCTGCCCAGCCTCGCCCACATCACAGTGGTCCTGCTGGTGGCTGCGGGTGACATGGCTGCCCTGGGCACGGAGGGCGGAAGCATCTTCTTCCTGGATGTTCCCACCCTGACACTGCTTGAGGGGCAGACTCTGGGCCCGGACGAGGTTCTGCGAAGGTGAGAGGCCACCCGGCTTCCCTGTGCCCCCTCCACCAGCCCCCCCGCACCCCCCACCAGCTACCCCGCCCGCTTTCTTCTTCTGCTGTCCGCAGCGTGCCTGATGACTACCGATGTGGGAAGGCACTGGGCCCCGTGGAGTCACTCCAGGGGCACCTGCGGGACCCCACCAAGATCCTTATCGGCTACAGCCGGGGCCTGCTGGTCATCTGGAACCAGGCTGCTCGCTGTGCCGAGCGCATCTTCCTGGGGAACCAGGTGTGTGGGTGCGGCTGGTGGTCACCCGGGGCCTCTGCTCACAGCCTCCAAGCTCACGCCTGTCCCCCGCCCCACAGCAGCTGGAGAGCGTGTGCTGGGAGCGCAGTGGCCACACGGTGGTCAGCTCGCACAGTGATGGCAGCTACGCCATCTGGGCTGCGGACACCGGCGACTCCCCAATGGCGCAGCCCACGGTGGCTACCACGCCCTATGGTGAGTGTGGGGGACCTGTGTAAGGTTGCCTGTGACCCCAAACTCGGACTGGCCTCGGTGGGGGAACTTCAGGGGGGATGTGTGGAAGGTGGCAGGGCCAGGCCAAAGGTGAGACCACCCCCCTGCCCCACGTTGGGTAGCATGCCTTCCCCTTGGGATGCAGGCAACAGCCACCCAGTGGGGACGATGGAGGCAGGAGGGGGATGGGGAAGTGGTGAGAAATGCCATCCAGGGCCCTCAGGTCCCTGCCTGAGAGCCTGCAAGTGAGGCCAATGCTGTCCCCCCGCAGGACCCTTCCCCTGCAAAGCCATCAACAAGGTCCTGTGGCGAAGCTGTGCGTCTGGGTAGGTGGGGCCTGCTCGGGGCCAGGGTTGTGGGGGGAGGCTCTTCTGGAGCCCCACCAGCTGCTCACATGGCTTCCTCACCCTGAGCAGCGAGCACTTCGTCATCTTCAGCGGTGGCATGCCCCGCGCCAGCTATGGTGACCGCCACTGCGTGAGCGTGCTGCAGGCCGAAACCCTGGTGACACTGGACTTCACCTCCCGTGTCATTGACTTCTTCACCGTGCATAGCACGCGGCCCGAGGATGGTGCGTTCCCGCCGCCCCCCATCGCCCCCCGACCTGGCCCCTGTGCGTCTCTGGCTGCGCTCACCCACCCCGTCCCGCAGAGTTCGACGAGCCGCAGGCCCTCGCAGTGCTGCTCGAAGAGGAGCTGGTGGTGCTGGACCTGCAGACGCCCGGCTGGCCGGCTGTGCCCGCCCCGTACCTGGCCCCCCTGCACTCGTCCGCCATCACCTGCTCAGCCCATGTCGCCAATGTCCCCGCCAAGCTGTGGGCCCGCATCATGAGCGCCGGCGAGCAGCAGAACCCCCAGCCAGCCTCCGGGGCCTCGGTGTGTGCCAGGGGTGGAGGGGGTGGTCCCCCGGGGGTGCACTACAGGCTGCGCCCAAGGAGGGGACGTGGCAGGTGTGGGTGGGACGCCTGCAGGGCCTTTGCATCCCACACATGACGCCTGGCGTGGCTTCTGCTTATACCTCTCTCCATCCCCCAGAGCTGGCCCATCACTGGGGGCCGGAACCTGGCTCAGGAGCCATCCCAGCGAGGCCTGCTGCTGACTGGGTAGGTGACACCTCTTCAGCCCAGTTGTGACGGGCATGTGAGCATGTGTGTGTGTGGGCGAGCAGGGTCTGGTGCTACCTGCACAGGTGCGAGAAGGGCTGTCCTGGGCCTGGCGGGTGCTGACCTGCCCACTGACTCAGGCCTGGCCCCTGGTGGGACCAGGTCACCTTCTTCCATCGGGTGCACTAGGTGAAGCCTCCCTAGACTCTGCTTTAAGGCCCAGCCCTCCTTGATGAAACTGAGCTCCACCCACTCAGCCTGCCCCGGGACCGGAAAATCTGGGCCAGCCCACGCTGAGCTGCCCAGGGCAGGTGCCGGAGAGCCCGGCCTGGGCCTGGCGGGCGCCGACGTGCCCGGTGACTCAGGCCCCACCTTCTTGCCCAGCCCCTGCCGTCTGCCTGTGCCGGGACCCTCAGGCCTCTGGAGGTGTCCCAACCAGCCTGCAGACTCTCAGCTTCTCCCGCCCTGGCTCTGGGCTGCCACCGCCGCCTAGGGGCCCTGACCTGTAGCTGTGTCCTGGGCTGCACCCCAGATTCATCTGCTCCCCCTCTCTGCTTTCTCCTGGCCTCCCCAGGTTTCCTGCTCCTGCCCCAGCATACTCCTCTGTTCTGGGGGCATCTCTGGTCACGTGTTCTGGAGGCCCCCGGGGGGTAGAATCCCTGTGGTCCTCTGTCCCCTGTCATTGTTTCACACCTTTTCTCATTTCCGGTGATATCCCTGCACCTTCTCATCCTCCACAGGGAAGGGCCCGGGTCTGGTGCCCTGGCATACAGTAAGGTGCTCAGTACTTGCTTGCCCTATATAGTTGATGCTTCCTATTTGCTGTATGCAGTAGGAGTCCAGTCAGTGTTTGGCCTAGGTGCTGGGTGCCCAGTGAGTGGTTGCTGGCTGAAAGGATGTGGAGGGGTTGGGTGGGGGCCTGGGGCCTGATGTTGCCTCTCCGCAGCCACGAGGACGGCACAGTGCGCTTCTGGGATGCCTCTGGCGTGGCCCTGCGACCGCTCTACAAGCTGAGCACCGCCGGCCTCTTCCAGACGGACTGTGAGCATGTCGACAGCCTGGCCCAGGCCGCCGAGGACGACTGGCCGCCCTTCCGCAAGGTGCGAGCCCCCCAACCCCTCCTGGCCCGGGGAGCCTGGTCTGGGCTCTGCTCTGTGACCAGTTCCCCTCCCACCCCCACAGGTGGGCTGCTTTGACCCCTACAGTGATGACCCGCGGCTCGGCGTGCAGAAGGTGGCGCTCTGCAAGTACACGGCCCAGATGGCGGTGGCCGGCACCGCGGGTCAGGTGGGGCTGAGGTGTCGCCAGGGCTGTGGGGCTCGAGGGCTTCTGGCGGGTCCAGTAGGGTGCTAGAGGGGTCGGCCCAGCAGAAACCCACAGGTGGGAATGGGGGAGGCCAGCTGGGGCCTTGGCAACCCTCACAGGGTTGGGGCCCCGTGCTGGAGCACCCGTGTTACATGGACCCTGGGAGGTCGGGGCCTGCGTGTCTTGGTCGCCACGGTGTTGCTCAGTGAGAGCCCTGGTACACAGTGGGCACCAGTCAGTGCTTATTCAGAAGATGCTCTCCAGATGCTCCTAGAAGCACCCTGGCAGAGGTGTCACTGGCTCAGGTGGGGTGGGGGCGCCCTGTCCTCCAAGCTGACTGCCCACCCACTCCCCCAGGTGCTGGTGCTGGAGTTGAGTGACGCGCCAGCAGAGCAGGCGGTGGGCGTGGCCAGCCTGGACCTGCTGCAGGACAGGGAGGGCTTCACGTGGAAAGGCCACGAGCGGCTGAGCCCACGCCTGGGACCGCTGCCCTGGCCAGCTGGCTTCCAGCCCCGCGCGCTCATCCAGTGCCTGCCACCAGCCGCTGTCACGGCCGTCACGCTCCACGCTGAGTGGGGCCTCGTGGCCTTCGGGACCAGTCACGGCTTTGGCCTCTTTGACTACCTGCGCAGGAGCCCCGTGCTGGCCAGGTGGGTGTGAGTGAGCCCCTCCCAAGGTTCATGGGGTGCAGCTGGGGGCACTGCCGGCCTCGCAGGACCCTGCTGGGGGAGGTCTGCCTCTCGGCCGCTGGACCCATGCTTTCCTGATGGCTGGCCTGCGTCCCCAGGTGCACCCTGCACCCCAGCGACTCCCTGGCCATGGAGGGGCCACTGTCCCGCGTGAAGTCGCTCAAGAAGTCGTTGCGCCAGTCCTTCCGGCGCATCCGCAAGAGCCGTGCGTCGGGCAAGAAGCGCATGGTCGCTGGCAGCAAGGTGGGGCAGCAGGCAAGGCGGGCAGGGTGATGGGGGTGGGGGGGCAGGATAGTGGCCCAACCTTGTGCCCCTCCAGTTGCAGGAGGCCAACGCGCAGCTGGCGGAGCAGGCTGGTCCCCAGGATGTGGAGGTGACGCCCGTGCAGCGCCGCATTGAGCCCCGCTCGGCCGACGACTCCCTCTCCGGTGTTGTGCGCTGTCTCTACTTTGCAGACACCTTCCTTCGAGATGGTGCGACTGGGCGGGGTGGGCAGCCAGGGGTGGTGTGTCCTTGGTCTTCTGGGAAATGGGTGATAGGGTGGACCCATGCCTTCTGGAAGGCTGGAAAACACTGTGTGCCTACGGAGTGCCAGCCTGTGCTAGCACCAGGGTGCCCTGGCCCCCAGCAGCTTCTGGAGCAACCCGATGGTGAGGCTCAGTGAGTGGGTGGGGCGGGCCTTAGACCTGGGCAGAGAAGGAAGCCCAGGATCTTGGGGAAGTACAGACCACATCGCCAAGGCCTAGACGGACGTGAGTCGCCCGGGCAGTGTGACTGGAGCAGAGGGCAGGCCTGGGAGGAGCCGGTTTTGACCCCAGGTGGGCAGAGCCCTGGCAGGTACTGCCCAGGGCAGTGGCGTGTTGGGGTTTATGGATGGAACCGCTGATCAATTTAACTTGGTAATGGGCATTTCAGCCCTTCACCGACTCCCCAGCTGTTCTCCATACATTGTGTATTTTTTAAACACGATGTAAACACAATTTGAAACAAAGGTCACTGGGCAGCTCAGGGTGTGTCTGGTGGAGGTCACTTCTGGCACAGGGCCTGTGTCAAAACCCGGAATGTGGATACTGATGGCTGGGGTTCCCTGTCACCCTTGGCCCACAGGTGACCCCATTCATCTCAGAAATGCCTTCTTAGAGTTGGGGTGGGGTCAACGTCCAGCTCATGTGCACGTGGTATCTCTGCGTCTTTCCTTCTTTATCTGGGAGGGGAGCCCCCTACTTCTGATGTCATTTGTTGAGGGTCCCTTTGTCTGGGGGATCTTCCCACTGTCTGCATCTGGCAGCCTGGTGGGGCTGGGCATGACCTCGTTCCACTGTCTCTGTGAGAAGCGTGGCTTCTTGTTGCTCACTTGTTTGTTGCTCGGGTATCCCCTCCCCCCCCAACTAAAATTGTTACTGAGGTCACCAGGCCATTGAGGGCACACAGTATGACCGCCCGGTCCATCCGCACCCCAGTATTTTTTAGCTCACTGTCAACTCAAGGACCTTCCCCTTCCTAAGGGAGTCGGACTGTGTGGTGTGCATCCCGGATGGGCCCGGGACTTGGTGCCTGGGTGCCCTGCGGGTGGGGCCTGAGTCCAAGTCTTTGTTGGGACTGGTGATGGGCTGAGTCACTGGGATGCTGGGAGAGGTCTGAGAGGTCAGGGTCCAGTTTGATGTGCCTGTGGAGGGACCCTAGCAGTCACTCCTGTGCCTGCAGGGGTATCTAGGGGATGTAGGAGGAGAGACCCAGTCCAGGGTCCCAGGGCACCAGAGGGGAGGGATGGCACACACCTGCCTCACCATCCTGTCTCCCCGCAGCAGCCCACCACGGCCCCACCATGTGGGCAGGCACCAACTCGGGCTCTGTGTTTGCCTATGCACTGGAGGTGCCAGCGGCAGCAGTGGGCGGTGAGAAGCGGCCAGAGCGGGCGGTGGAGGCCGTGCTGGGCAAGGAGGTGCAGCTGATGCACCGTGCCCCCGTGGTGGCCATTGCAGTGCTGGATGGGCGCGGCCGTCCACTGCCAGAGCCCTATGAAGCCTCGCGGGACCTGGCGCAGGCGCCCGACATGCAGGGCGGCCACGCTGTGCTCATTGCATCTGAGGAGCAGTTCAAGGTGAGCAGTCTCCGAGACCCCTTGGAGCTCTCGCCTCCTGGATTCCATTGGACCCTTGGCTTGCATCCATCCCTGCTCACTGGGACCTCCTGAGTGCCTCCAGCCATCGCAGAGGCACCTTGGGGAACTTCCCCTGGTGCCCCTCAGGACCCTTGAGCACTCCCTTGGGTGGTCTGCAGGAGCTTGTGGTATGGGGTACTGGCTTCCAACTTGACCACCCAGTGTAACTGGCTTTGCCACAGGTGGAGGGGCCTTGGAGGTTTCTGGGCTGTGGAGCTGTGGTCAGGGTGGTGGCTCAAGGTGGGTGGTGCTGGGTGGAGGAGGTGGTGGGGCCAGGCTAGACTGGAGGCACTAGGGTGTGGACTGGCCCAGGCTCCACTTAGCACCCACTCCCAACCCACCTCTAGGTGTTCACGCTACCCAAAGTGAGCGCCAAGACCAAGTTCAAGCTCACAGCCCACGAGGGCTGCCGCGTGCGCAAGGTGGCCCTAGCTACCTTTGCCAGTGTTGCCTGCGAGGACTACGCGGAGACCTGCCTGGCCTGCCTCACTAACCTGGGTGACGTGCACGTGTTCTCGGTGCCGGGCCTGCGGCCCCAGGTGCACTATGCCTGCATCCGCAAGGAGGACATCAGCGGCATCGCCTCCTGCGTGTTCACGCGGCACGGCCAGGGTGAGGCGGGCCGGTGGCTGCAGTCAGGGCTTCTGGGAGGTGGGGACATGGCCCCTTACTGTGCTTCCCGCCCCCTCCTAGGGTTTTACCTGATTTCCCCCTCGGAGTTTGAGCGCTTCTCCTTGAGCGCCCGGAACATCACCGAGCCACTCTGCTGTCTGGACGTCCATTGGCCCCGAGATGCCACACGTGTCAGGTGCATAAAGGGGTAGCCCCTGGCCAGGGGTTGCAGCGCTGGGACCAAGGCTGGGCTCATTCCGTTCCCCAACTCAGCAAGGAGCAGGGTGGCCCTCTCTGGTCATCCCTCTGGCTCCAGGGCTCCGGAATGGGAGGGCAGGGGTCTGGCCCTCGAGCCATGAGATGCCTGCCCACCGTCTGCAGCACAGCCCATCTCTGCAGCCACAGGTCCCGAGAGTCGCCCAAGCTGAACCAGGCTAACGGGACCCCGGGCGTCATCTTGGCCCCACAGAGTTGTGATGGAAGCCCCGATCCCATCTGCAAGGGGGCTGGTGAGGAGGCTGCGCATTAGCTGGGCAGCTCGTGGTGGTGGGGGTGCTCCGCAGGAGGCAGCTGCCCAGAGGGTCTGGGGAGGGGTTGGTCTGTGCCATGGTCCACCGTGGGCTGGTGTGGGACCAGGTCAAGTGTGGATGGGGCCTCGGAGCCCTAGAAGGACCCTGTTCACTTCCTCCCTGCAGACACCCCAGAGCCAGCTGAGGCCATGCTCTCACCTATGTCCATTGACTCGGCCACCAGTGCTGACACCACGCTGGACACAACAGGGGACATGACGGTGGAGGATGTAAAGGATTTCCTGGGGTGAGGAGCCAGTTGGGTCCACAGGAGGGGCTGGTCACTCCCAATTTCCCTCCCTGACCCTTCAGCCAACCTCATACCCCAGCTGGGCACGAAGGACCAAGGAGGGCCTGACCCCAGGTCTGCTGACCACTGCCCCTCCCTGCAGCTCCTCAGAGGAATCTGAGAAGAACCTGCGGAACCTGTCAGAAGAGGAGGCTCGAGCCTGCGCCATCCTGATCAAATGAGGCTGCAGGTGCGCAGCCTGGTGCCCTTGAGTCAGTACCTCCTCCAACCTCTCCCAACACAGACGCTGTGGCTCCTTCTGTTGCTGGGGTCACTGCTGCCCCCTCCCTAGCCTCGGGGTTCAGGCTGTCACTGCAGGACCCTAGCCCCCCATCCTGGAGACTGAGTGGTGGCACGCATGTGGCCAGGCCGCCTGCCCCGTTGGACCTCCCTGGCCTTCTGCTGATCTTGTTTCTCTCTGCTAGGGAGGCCAGAACTGCCAGGTCACCCCCACCCTGCTCGGAGCTGGAGCCAGGGGCCCAGTCCACCATGTAGACCTGCACCTGCTAACTTCAGGCTCCTGTGGGGCCTGCCGGCCTGGCCCTGAGCCTCAGGGACTCCACCGGGCCCAGCCTGCAGGCAGAGGCCACCCGGGAGGTCAGGCGCCACAGGGGAGGCCGCAGGGCCCACGGCTACCACCCCCCAGGCCATGTGCCGTCCTCCCCCTCTCCTTTTGCAAAGAGTATTTTTCTAACGCCTGTGCCGGGCACCACAGTCATTTCTAAAACTATTTTGGTACTTGCTCCTGGGCCAGCACCCCCTTAAACCCCCTGCTGTGTGCAAGTGTGTGTGTAAGAGCTCCACTCGGCAACCAGGACTGAGGCCTGGCTGTGTGTGCGTGTGTATGTGTGTGTGTGGGGGGGGGTTAGGATGGGTTTCCTGTAGATTGTACTCTAGGGGACTTTTTTCCTGTCATTTTTGTTAAAATTAGTGTTTTAAAATTAAAAATACTGATTTTTAATATTGAAAATAAAAGCATTTAATATCTCTTAAAGGGCAGCCACACCTGCTTTATCCCTGGCAGAAGAAAGGGAGTCACACGTAAGCTCAGAGTGGAGGGAGACTGCTTTGCCAGACCTCTGGAGACACTGGTCAGGATCACCCCACTGGTGGTGCAGAAGCACTTATCTTTCCATAGGGTGGAGTGCAGTGGCAGTGGCCTTAGGCCAGGGCCTGGCGGAAGGTGCTCCAGGCGTGGAAGCAGCGGGTGAAGGCGTGCTGCTCATTGCCCTTGCGCACGAGGCGCAGACGGCGGGGCCGCTCATGCTCCTTAGAGCGCATGTGCTGGATGTACACCTGGGGGACGGGCAGGGGGTTGGTGAGGGCGGCCCCAGCCTCGGCCCCTCCCCCAGGCCCAGCCTCGGCCCCTCCCTGCTCACCTGGCAGGCCTTCAGGCTCAGCTTGATCTCCACCTGGCTGGTCTGGGACCCCACCCACATGTAGACCTGTGGGGACAGCAGGGGACATGGTCTCCCAGCCTCAGAATACCTCTTTAGGGACAGTTGGGCTCCCAGCGTGGGCAGGGTTGGGGGGTCTCACCTCTTGGCCGTTGTCTAAGAGCATGATGTCGTCATCTGCCAGGTCATCTTGGCAGAAGTCAGAGCACTTCTCAGTCACCGCGAAGTAACCCTTCTCGTTGGAGCATCTGGGGGAGGTCAAGGGTCAGGGAGAGGCTGAGGGTCATGGCAGCAGGGCCAGGACGAAGGAGGGCCAGGGAGCGGTGGCGGGGCGACCTCACCGGAAGAGCCGCGTGTGCTTCATGTACTCGGCGTCGTCGTCATAGGGCTTTTGTGCACCGATGCCCACCCAGAAGAAGTTCTCGGGCTCCTCGCCCTCATTGATGACCTGGGGGTAGAAGGCTGGTCAGCTCAGGGCCCACTGCTTGCCCCCACCTGGTCACCACCCCCTGCCTGGCCCCCCGAGCCCCCATCACCTGACCACCTGCCCCAACCCCAGTCACCTGCTTGCTGTAGGAGGCCTCGAACATGCTGTTCAGGATGTCCTCTGCCAGCTTGGCCTCGTCGGGGTCCGAAGCCCGGCCCACCCACGCATACACAATTCCCTGGTTGTCCTCACTCTCAAAGGGAACCTGGGTGTCAGGAGGTCAGGTCAGGCCCACCCTGCTCTCCACCCTGCTCTCCACCCTGCCCCTCGGTCCCAGCCACACGAGACCCAACCTTGAGGATGAAGCAGAACTCCGAGTTGAGGAGGCTGGAGTCGGTGTTGATTTGGATGCACCTGGGACAGGGGAGGGGAAAGTGAGGGAGGGGTCAGCAGGGAGCAGCCAGGCCCACCCCCTGCGCACACGCGCCCCGCCCCGCAGCCAGGCACCGGGTGCAGAGGGCGCTGCCGTTGGTGCGGATCTGGTACAGGCTGGGCTGCAGGGCGCCCTGGGCAGCCTTCCTCTTGCCCCGGTGGATAATGAACTTCCTCTTAAAATGGGACAGGAACTTGGGGTTCTCCTGCTGCTGCGTCATGCGCACCACCTGCAGGTGTGGAAGCGTCAGGGGCAGCTCCCTGGACCCCCACCCTGCTCCCAGTGGGGCAAGCCTCCCCAAGAACGCCACCCCAACCCTGCTACGGCTCTGGGGCAGGGCCCCCACACCTCCAGCTTGCCAGGGAAGAGGCTCTCAAACTTCTTCTGCAGGCTGAAGGTGAAGGTCAGCCAGCCCATGTTGGAGGCCTCGCGGCCCTGCCAGAAGTACACGATGCACTGGAAGTCCTCCTCAGGCTGCTTCTCCTCCGCCTCGGCTGCTGCCTCCTCACCCTCCTTGTCCTCGGCCCCCGTCTTCTCCTCCTTCTTCTCCTCCTCCTCGTACTCCACGGGCACCCAGTACCTGCAAGGTCATAAGGCAGTGGGCAGGGCTGAACCGAGGCCCCAGCACTGGGGGAGGGCCGGGTAAGGGCGGGTGCAGGGGACCTGCAGAGGAAGACGTAGCAATCCTGCGTGTAGAAGTGGCCGAACTCCTCCTCTGGCAGCCGAGCGAACTTCTTGCCCTCGAGCACGAAGCCCTCCATGCCGTCCAGGTCCTCATTCCACTCCTCCATCAGCTGCTCGGCCTGCGTACGACCCCGCCCGTCACAGTGGGACCGCACAGCCGGCCCTCCCGCCCTGCGGCCCGGGGCTCGCGCCCACCTCGGCCAAAGCCATGGGTGGCTGCCGCGGCAGGAAGAGGGCTGTAAGGTCTGCCTTCATCTGGTCCTTCTTCTCGGCGTCGCGCTTCACCTTCCCCGCGAGCCCTGGCCCCTGCAGCATGGCCTCTGCGTTGCGCGTGTAGTCTACACTCAACACGTCGTCCCAGTTCTTGAACTTGGCCTTGAACACCTGAGAAATCACAGCCGGAGGAGGCGGGGTCTGCGAAGCAGGGCGGGGCCTGGGAACTGGAACGGGGCGGGACCGGGAGGGGCAGGCTGGAGGGGTGTGGCCTAGGAGTGGGAGGGGCGGGTAGGAACAGGGCTGGGCTGGCAGCAGTCCTGGAAGCTGTGTAGGGCTGTATGTAGTCTGTAACCCGTTCGTGGGGCGTCAGGGCAAGAACACGGTTGCAGGACCTCGGGGAGGAAGCCTCCGAGGGTGGCTGCATTCATCCGCACCTGTGCCTCGGTGCCCTCGAGGCTCCGGCTGACCATGGCGTGGCGTGGTCGGTGGAGCATCCCGCACAGCTCCTGGCCCAGCTTGAGGGCTGCGGCACGCACCAGGCGTGGGGACTTGCGGCCAAGCCAGATGAACACGTCGGACCAACAGTCCAGGATGTACACGCAGCGAGTGTCCAGCAGGCTCTGCAGCTGCGGGGCCCCAGAGGCTGGAGGTCAAGGCCAGGGTCAGCCAGCAGGGAGGGATCTTGGCCCAGGGGCCCTCCTCCCTGTGTCTCACCAGTCGCATCCGAGGCATCAATTCCACTTTGGGCCGCTTCTTATGTTCCACGGAGAGCTTGTAGTTGATCTGTGGTAGCTCCAGGTAGCCCAGGCCCAGGCCCACCTGGAGCAAGAGGTGGGTTTAACTAGGGTGGGTCTGGGGAACACAAGACCAACCCACAGCAGCCCCTGCGTTCAAGTCCACAGCCTGCTCCTCTCTAGACTAGTCTCCCTGTACCCCAACCTCCTTTCCAGGAAATCCTACTGGCAGAAGGGTTGTTAAACCTGCCTTCCCTCTCTGGGTCCTTATGGATTTTCTAACTGGTCCTTTTCCCACCCACAACACCCCCATCTTCCTGTCACCCGCAGAGTCAAGACCAGGTCCTCAGGCCAGGCACCCATGTGCTTCTCGGCCTTCCTCTCCAGTCCCACCTTCCTGGAACCACAGAGCCTGATGCTAGTTTCCAGGGCCCCACTCAGACCCTGGCATTTCCTGCCCAGGAGGTGGCACCCTCTCCCACCAAAGTCCAGAATGAGACCACAGCCACCACAGTGGTGCCAAGGCCCACCCATATCCTGACCGACCACTGGTGAAGCTCACCTTATACAGTTTGGGCTGGGGTGGCCAAAAGTCATCAGGCACGTGCTTCTTGATTTCAGAGGGCTCCCCACCCAGTGCCTCCCAGAACTCTGGGGGCTCCTGGCCATGTACCAGCAGCAAGATCTCTGCCTTCCCTTTTCGCTCATTCTTGTTAATTTTCTCTGCAAAGAGCCTGAGAGCAGATGCAAAGCCTTAGTGAGGCCCATACCTCCTCAAGTGACCATGTTCCTTTGCACAAAGCACCCAGGATGTCTGGGCAGGGTGCAGTCCTCTTACCTGGCCTTGGTAGTGCTGCTCAGCGTGGCCTGGGCCCCTCGCCACACGTAGATGTTCAGCCCTCTGTCCAGCAGGAAAACAAACCTGGACAGAAGGGATGGGAGGGGCTGCAATGGGCCACATGCAATAATTCCCCCAGTGCCTCTGACCTCACCCCAAATCCCTCCTTGCTGGTCTCCTGCCGAGCAATGTGGGACAAGAGCTGAGCGGCCTCTTGTCTAGAGCCCAGCTCTGTACCCCCACACTGGTGGGGAGAAGGTACGGGGTCAAGCACGCCACCTCACATCATGGGGCTCACCTTGGGTCCAGGGAGGCCCCCTTGAGAGGCACCGGCTCCAGCTTGATGTTCTTCTTCCCATACACGCGGTACATCCTAGGGGCCAGAGCAAGAGTGGCTTGGGGAGGCACCAAGGGCAGATTTACCCCAATGCCCTCCCCCTTCCTTCCCGACTA